GCTACTTTAAATTATAGAGGTGAAGAGTTACATGAGCTATATTATCCACCCCAAAACCCCAAAACCCCGCTAGGTTACATTAAGATAGAAGCATACTTTAAAGAAAATAAATGTAATTAAGTTGTGATTAGTTAAAATAAACAATGGAATTCTAATAAAATCTGCAAACTTCTCCTGTTCCAATTACTTAGAGCAATGTAATATTGGTAAATCGAAAGGCAACTGCAGATTCTAATATGACTAATGATTCAGCGGAGAAGGAATTTTTATTGTTCAATCCACCAAAGTCATCTTAATCTAATGTTAGAAAACAAAGAAAGAAAATGGTCAACTATATAAATGTCATGAGAAGGAAATTTGAGAACAAATAACAACTCAAGCCATCTATTCATGAAGTTTTGTTACACTAGGTTCCAGGTGATTTTAATAGTATTAGCATCGATAAAAATAATTCAATATCATATCACTTAGATGATATGAAGTAGCATTCTCTTATGTCAAGAACATTCGCAATAAATTCTCCAAATAAATCTAGTAGTGTCAATACAAATAACAACAACATTTTCCTAAGTTGAAAGTTATAGCAAAGCCCTTAAGTTAATATAAACAAGAGTTTCAAAATGCAAACAGAATAGAATCACGAGATTGTAAATATGATTCAGGTTTAAGATAGGCTACTTAATTAAAAAAAGAATTAAAAGATATTCTAGCATCCTAACTTTAACTTTATTTACAAATATTAAAAGGTGAGAAAGGAATCTTTGGAGACTTGACCTAGTGAAGGACCGAATCCAATCCTTAGCAGAATACAAAGTTCTTAATAATCTAGAGAGTAAGCAATGAGAGGACGATAAAACTAAACGTCTTCTGGTACAAGAAGGAATATCATTCCAAGAGGAGATAATCTTTTTAATAGTCTCCATCCAAGTAATCCGTTGATAAATCATGAGTAAAAGAAATGGATGATAGGGGATCATGAGGAGAACTTAAAAAAGATGAAAAAAATCCTTGACTTAGATAACTACCTCAAAAAGTAGCACTATGGCTTTGAGCTTGCAATTAAATAGATAAAAACTTAGCAGACTGAGTAATATGATACCGCTAATACTATGGTTTATTCAAGAGATGCTATGGTAAATACTAAATATAATGTGTCTCCTCAGCTAAAATAGAGCCTTAGAAAATCCAAAAACATTCCAATAATAATCCAAGCTGATCTGCCTTAAATTTTCGCTTAAAAAGCATTGCTACTAAAAAGAGAAGAAAACCCTAAGAGTTCAATATCTGGGAAGAGGAGAAGTTTTATTTAAGATCACATAGATGCCATTAAATTGACATCTAAGAGATTAAACGTATCGATAGACTTGAGATAAGTCGAAAGGTAAAACCAACCTCATATGAGTCCCAGTATATAGTCCTAATAATCTTGAAATAAAAATCAGTCCTAGTAAATAATGAACTTTTCTCTAAAAGACCATTTTAATGTATATGATTATGAATTTATATTTAAGCTATTCACACTGTTTTATTTATGAAATTAATGTTTAATTTATAAAAATACTATCTTTATCATTTCAAATTGTTAACGTCAAAGCTAACCCTCTTATTGCTTAATTCTCCACTTCTTTGATACCTACTTGTTCTCTTGAGAGAACTTCTGCTCTCCACCACACTATCAATATTTTCAACAGTCATTTTGAAGTTATTTTTCTTGCTGTCATCTTTAGAAATTCTGTTGATTTCATCAGCAAGTAATTGACTGCCTTGAATATCGTCATTACTTTTATCGCTATTCTTCTTTGAAGTCTAATTGCTATGCCCTATGAAGGTTTAAACTTAATAGCTATTCGTGATGCTTGTGTTTAGAGTTCTATTTATATCAAATTTAGTCTAAAGAGGAGGAGAATTAGATTAATTCTCAGGACATTCACATCTTATTACTTTTACAGCACATAAGCACTTGCAATTAGAGTATAAGTCTTCAGATTTGCAATATTTGCAAAGGAACTTCACGTTCTCATTTCCTTTTAAGTTCCTTAGACTTATCTTCTCTGTATATACACTCAATATGCTCTTCTCCTTGGCTTGGCTGATTATTGTTGATTAATCTTTGTTACTAGATGCTTGTGATTCTATGAGCATTTTATCAAGAGCCCCTTCTCTGTCAACTGATTTCATTGAGTATTCTGATTCATCCTCAGTCTCCTCATCTTCAATATCTTTCTGTTTTTTGAATATAGTACTTTTAGGGAATAAAATTAAATCTAAGAAGTTCTTGAATGGCCTCTCAACCAGCAAATAGAATGGAATACTCATTATATAAGAAAATATGAAAGATGAAAGAGTAGTAGTAAAGATTAATCCAACTGAAAGCAAAATATCCTGCTGTCTAGAAGCAAAGTACCAAGTTATCACAAGAAAGTGAAGGATATATGCTGAAAAAGTTAACTCCTCCAATACATGCCAGAAATGAGAGTCTAGAAGTGGTCTTAATATGTTGGAGCAATTTGCCATACTCGGTAGTAGGATACAGCTCAAACCCAAGAAATATATGTATTAGGCTAAGCCATTATATATTGCGCTAGTTGTAGTTCCCCAGCATAGATTTATTGTAGCATATTTATCTTTAGGAGCTAAATCCTAATTTGCACATTATGTATTAGTTATCATTATCAGCAAAATAAATAGACAAAGAGAAATCCCACATATATATGCAATTATTTTGTTTTCTCTCTTTTTCTTAAATCTATCTATCAACGATTTATGAAATGGTTTGCTACCATCGTTGAGAGTTCCGACATATTTATACTCAAACTTTATTATTCCAATAAGAATGCCAAACAAAAATGGCGGTATCCTGTAGTAAACCTTCATAAACATATAATTGTAGCCTTAACTTAAGTAACCAGGATAGGAATTAATTTCATATTTATAAGTCATGACTATAGTAGGAATAAGACTTCCAAAAATCGCAACGAAAATAAAGCTGCCTATTAATACTTTTCTAAAAGCATGCTTATAAATAACTACAAACATTGGTATCAAAACTATCAAAAGCTAGAATTCATTAGATATATACGTCAAATGTCCTACACATTGATCAGAAAAGTTTTAGGGGTAAAAATTGCTTATCAACAATATATTTGTCCACCAGTATTGGACACAATTATCAAGCAGGAAAGATTTCAACAACGTAGGATAAAGAGGCCCAGTACCAATATATGGAAATATTGCGACAGTAATAGCAGTACAGAAAGCAGCTGGAATAGCATAAAATATATATGTTCTTAGAATAAAAAGTAGGATGCTAAAACTGTGTTCCTTTAAATAGATTGATTAGAGGACACTATACATTGTTGCAAATCCGGAGTAAAAATATACTAGGCTGAATCCAAAGATAGCTCCTTGCATCATGAGTGTACTTGTGTAGTTAGTCGTAAGATAAGGATACTCATCATAATTGGTTGGATATGAATTTAGAGATATATAGTAAACAGTATCAAAGCATACCCATATAAATCCTATAACTTTGAGTATTCTTAAAAACCCAACTTTATGCTTATTCTCCGTATCGTAGAATAGAATCATCATATTTCTTGGGATTGAAAAGCAAAGGAAAAATATTGCCCAAATTTTCTTTCAGTTTAAGAGCAACTTATCCATTTAAGCTAAGAGTTCTATATATTATTGCTTATTTCCATCTAGTGGATAATAGTTTATATGAATGTGAGATTTGTTTTCTGACAGGTTTCCAAAGTTTGTGTATTAAACTACTGTTCCAAGTATACACAATAAAAATGTCATTGTTAAAAGACTCATCATTACAATAAATCCGGGCCTGAATTAGTCTTGCATCTATTAGTATAGATCATCAGGCTTTGAGTAGTTTTTGCTTTGCTGTATCAACTCTATTAATGGAGCAGGGTATACCAAGGAATCGTAAAAGCTTAAGAAATCAGTATCACACTCTTAGGCTATACAATTACCGACTACATAATTAGGTTGATCTTATGCATTTGGTCCCTAAGGTTGTATAAGTTGTAAATAGTAAGTATTCTCAGGCTGTTAAATGCAATCTAGGTAATTTCCTAGCTCATTCACATACTTCCCACTATTTTCAATAAGATTGCTAATCAACTTCCCATTCTTTGTCAAATCATATATTACCTACTTGCAGGATTTGGATGTTGCATAAGTGTTTCATGTTGCTACCAAAATTAAACAAATATTGATGAATGGGATATATGCTTTCATTAAGTTAATAAAATTATTATTATAATTATAGAAAATCTAAAAATTGAATAGTATGATTAATTTATGAAATCAACTATTAATTGACACTCTAGAATTGACGACTATCAAAGCTTCTTTCTGAAGCTTGGTTTTTCGTAAATAGGTTCTGGCACACCATCTCCCATTAGGAATTTCTACTCTGAGTCCTCTTTATGAGTGTATACATTATCTTTATTTATTTTCTTCAACTGACCACCTGCTAAATCAATAGCATGCTCATAACTATCAGTGAATTTTCCAATACATTTTTCAAAACATGAAAATTCATCCCTCTCTTCTGCAAGAGTTTGATTTTATTTATCTTTAAGATTAGAGAAGATATTGCATTTTTCAGAGCAGAATTAAATATTCTCAAAAGCTATCTTTCTCATATTATACTCAAGGTAGTCCATCATGAAGAATTAAGTAATTCTGTCCCTTCTTTCTTCCAGAAGACTTTCATCTATCTAATTTTGCTAATTTGTTAACATTTTAATGGCTTAATTTATATTATTAATTCCAAATTAAATAAGTGTATATCTCAATTTACTTAATCTTACGGGGTTTTGGGGTTTTGGGG